ACTCCAGTGGTTACCTTTTCATTTTAGAGTTCAATTTAAGATTCTTTTATTTGTTTTTAAAAGTTTAACTGGTCTTGCGCCATCCAACCTCTCTGAGCTGCTTCACCCATACTCTCCTGCTCGGTGCCTCAGATCAGCTGCTCCTGTAGGTGCCGAGGTCCAAACGGAGGCTCAGAGGGGACAGAGCTTTTTCTGTTGCTGCTCCAAGACTGTGGAACAATCTCCCTCTTCCCATCAGACGAGCCCTTTCACTGTTCATTTTAAAAACTCTTTTAAAAACAAATTTTTACTCCCTGGCTTTTAATACAGACTGAATTTGCTCTGCACTGTTTTTATTGATCTTAAAGTTTTAACAACTGTTTAATGTGTATAAACGTTCTTGATTTTATATGTACAACACTTTGTTGCAGCAGTGGTTGTTTTAAAGGGGTTTATAAATAAAGTATTATTATTATTATTACAAACTCGGGCGTGGGAGGAATTCGGAGAGGCCATGGAGAATGACTTTCATAAGGCTTCGAGGTGATTCTGGTCCACCATTCAGTGTCTCATGGGGGGAAAGCGGTACAATACCAACACTCTTTATAGTGGAGGTGGTGTGTTGCTGACCTCAACTCGGGATGTCGTGGGTCGGTGGGCAGAGTACTTCGAAGAACTCCTCAATCCCACTGGCCCGTCTTCCGCTGAGAAAGCGGAGCCTGAGGATTTTGGGTCGGGCTCTCTAATCTCTGGTGGTCACGAGGTGGTTTAAAAAGCTCCTTGGTGGCAGGGCACCAGGGATAGATGAGATTCGCCCAGAGTTCCTTAAGGCTCTGGATTTTGTAGGATTATGTTGGCTTACATGATTCTGCAATACTGCGTGGACATTGGGGGTAGTTCCCCTGGACTGACAGACCAGTGTGATGGTCCCCCTATTCAAAAAGGGGGACCGTAGAGTGTGTTCCAACTACAGGGGGATCACACTCTTAAGCCTCCCTGGTAAGGTCTATTCAGGGGTTCTGGAGAGGAGGATCCGTCGGATAGTCAAACCTCAGATTCAGGAGGAGCAGTGCGGTTTTCATCCTGGTCGTGGAATATCAGACCGGCTCTACACTCTCAGTGGTGCGTGGGAGTTTGCCCAACCAGTCTACATGTGGTTTGTGGACTTGGAAAAGGCGTTCGACCGCGTCCCTCGGGGAACCCTATGGGAGGTACTCCGGGAGTATGGGGTACCAGGCCCTCATTTAACACTTGCTCTTCTCAAGGGCGGAGGTCTCCTCCTCACCATCTCCGCTTTGCTTTTGCTCTGTCCTGTCTGTGAAACTGCTTTAGAACCTCTCTTCTACAAATTTTCTGAATCACAACTATGGACTTGGATTTGGTCAGTTGGTCCCTCAACACAATAGATAACCTTTCTTTGCAGAGAAGACAGGCTTTAGGCGAGCCGATTTGCCCTGTTGGCGCACACGCAGCTGGATATCTCATCGACTTTGAAGACTTGATGACATGTATATCTCTGCTGTCATCTGTGGATTTTAAGGACACATTTATAATTGGATTTATAAAAACTGGTTCCTGCTTTTAGGTTCAGCTGGTTCCTGGTCTATCAACAAACAAGGAAGTTGTCTGCAGCAAATCAGAAGCTGGTCAAACTGCCTGCCTTATGTGATGGCTTGGTTCGTGCCTCAAGCACCCAGACTCTTGGCAGAATGGATCAGATCTTGGGGATTATTCTCAGGCATGTTCCAATGGTATAGTCATTTAATATGGACGTTTCGGAAGCAAGTGGACCGACACAGACTCAAGGTAGATGTCATTAAAGTTCTGCCTGTCCCCAAAACAATCGTGTTTATCTGAATTCGGCTCCCTGACTGGCCTTGACAGGCCATCTTATCTCAACTCGACTGGAAAGTTTTGTAAACCTGATGCTCAGCCCCTCCCTCCCCTCCTACTGAGGAATTTCCATGGACTTTTCAGAGAAGCCCAGTTGATTAAACATTCGGTCATCATTTCAAGACTCTGGATTCGTCTCTGGTCGTCCTCGGCACCCCCCGAGTGTGCTCGGATCTCTCCAGAGGGAACTATTTGAACTGAGTGATTTTATCTGAACTCTGCAGTGTCTCTGTGTGTTTCCTCTGGCTGCTCACCGCTCTTGCATCCACCCTCCACCCTGCGTAATGTCGGCGTCATTATGTGCTCATGTACAAGATTTTTTTTTTATTATCACATTGTTGACCTTCAAACAGAGGTTAAAAGCGTGTTAGGAAATTTTTTTTGTCTCCAAACCCTGTGTGTCATTTTTCACCACTTTTATTTTGTGTCCAAACAGGTCTCACTTGTAAATGAGTCTTTGAGGCTCAATGTGACTTATCTGTTTAAATAAAGGCTGAATGAATGAAAAAAAAAAGGACTGTTGGGTCCCTGTATGACCAGTGTCAAAGCTTGGTCCACATTGCCAGCAGTAAGTCGGGTTCGTTCCCGGTGAGAGTTGGACTCAGCCAAGGTTGCCCTTTGTCATCGATTCTGTTCATAATTTTTATGGACAGAATTTCTAGGCGCAGCCAAGGTGTTGAGGGGATCCGTTTTGGTGACCTTAGAATCGCGGCTCTGCTTTTTGCAGATGATGTGGTCTTATTGGATTCATCAGGTTGTGATCTACAACTTTCACTGGAATGGTTCGCAACAGACTGTGATGCGGCCGGGATGAGGATCAGTTCCTCTAAATCCAAGGCCATGGTCTTGAGCTGGAAAAGGGTAGAGTGCCCTCTCTGGATCGGGGAGGAAGTCCTGCCCTCATGTATGGTCATGAGCATTGGGTTGTGACCGAAAGAACCAGATCTCTGATACAAGCGGCCGAAATGAGTTTTCCCCACAGGGTGTCTGGGCTCTCCCTTAGAGATAGGGTGAGAAGCTCAGTCATCCAGGAGGGACTCAGAGTAGAGCCGCTACTTCTCCACATCGAGAGGAGCCAGTTGAGGTGGCTCGGGCATCTGGTTAGGATGCCTTCTGGGTGCCTTCCTGGTGAGGTGTTTCGGACACGTCTCTCCGGGAGGAGACCCAGGACACACTGGAGGGACTATGTTTCTCGGCTGGCCTGGGAACGTCTTGGGATTCCCTCGGAGGAGCTGGCCCAAGTGGCTGGGTAGAGGGAAGTCTGGGCCTCCCTACTTAAGCTGCTACACCCCAGATAAGCGGAAGAAAATGGATGAATGGATGGATGAAATCATGTAAATGCAAGAGTGTCTGTTGTGTTAGCAAAATATCTCAGAAAGTAATTACTGGATGCACCCCTACAGTGGATTAGTGTTTAACGTCAAATTGATTCAAGATGCCCTCCATACAAAACTGTCTTTAGCAAACACAACTCAGTCAGTTTGACAGAAATTGAGGTCATATTTGGTGTGGTAGTAACTACAATCATCCCAAACAAACTATCTGAGCTTAGGTGCTTTATAAAACTCAGGAGTGCCACATTGTTTTGGTGTGTTTCTACAACACATGAGAACATGAAAGCTCATACTGGACCACGAGCGCCAGTCTGATACTTGAGACCAAATTAGGTTCCCAGGGGAAAAGAATGAAGTCAGCTTCTAATTAACAGCAGAAAAGCCAAACTGCAGATTCTGCTACAAATCAAGAGCTAACTTCAGCATCATCTTCACAAAAATAGAAAAATACAAAACAAATTTCAGCTAGATATGATAAAAATTATTATATGATTAAAGTATTTACTTTTATTATTATTATATTATTGGTTAGGCAGCACAGTGGCATAACTGGTAGAGCTGCTGCCTCTCAGGGAGAAGGTTGCCCCGTTCAAATTCTGGTCCGGGGGCCTTTCTTTGTGGAGTTTGCATGTTCTCTCTGTGCTGCGTGGGGTTTCTCTGGGTACTCTGGTTTCCTCCCACAGACCAAAAACATGCATGTTAGACTGATTGATAACTCTAAATTGTCCCCAGGTGTGAGTGAGAGAGTGAATGGTTGTTTGTCTCGCTTGTCTCTATGTGTCCCTGTGATGGACTGGAGACCTGTCCAGGGTGTCCCCTGCCTCTCACACAGTGACTGCTGGATATGGAAACTAGTGACCCCGCGATCCGAAAAGGAAGAGGTGGGTAAAGATGATGGATGGATATTATTGGTGAAAAAAGTTTCATGCACTGCTCCACAAATAGCAGCAGCAGAGACCTGCACCTTCAGTTAAAGTGCCTTAAAAAAAGTTCTCATATTTTTAGTATTTTATTGCAATGGTGACAAAATTGCTATTAGCAATTGTTTAATTATTTTGTTTGTTTTTACTTCTATAAATCATTTTAAATCCACTTTTTGTTGCTTGAGGACCCACAGTAGGGTCCAAACTCAAATTTGGGAACCATTACAGAATATTAATGTATAGTTTAACCATGCAGTTTCAATACTCTGTATCTGACACAACATTAAGAAGTCTGAGGAAACATTCACCATTGCCTAGGATGTATTTTATCTGATTTAAACAACTTATTTACATGCATTTGAGAAACTTTTCGAGAATAAAGTAGAATTAATCTTTTTACGTAACATTAGTCTTAAGCTATATAAAGTAACAAGGTAATTAAAATGAGTTAATTCCTTGAGATTAGGAGCATTTTCCTGACTGGTTAAGTACAGAGTACAGAGTTGAAACTGAAGAAAAAGTAGCCAAAATCCAAATAAAAACCCTTAAAGACAGCTTGAACTGTTGATCAACACCACGTTAAAAGGTTGTAGGAAAGTCTGCTTGGAGATAAAATATAAAGACATCAGGACTGGATCAGGAGTTTTGCACAAGATTAAACATCCACATCTGTCTGTGGAGTGATTCAGGAAGGACGACAGTGATCAATGATGTGACGGTTCAGAGGACGGATGGGTTCGAGCCTTACACACAGCAGCTAACAGTCAAATTAGGTTTTACTGTTCATTTAATGAACTTGTATATTTTGCAACGTGTTAAAAAAGATACAAGTATTTAAAGTAGTTGTGACATGTCTAGAGTTTGAACTCACCCTGCGCCACCTGTCTTTGGACGTCCTTCTCGTGCTCTTTATCTCTTTCTCCAATGTTCTCCACCAGAATCTTCATCAGAACACAGAGGTCCTCTTCACCCAGACCTATCTACAGAACCAGTGACACACACCGTCACGTCCTGCACAGCAGAATGAACTCTGACATTCAACAGCAGCATACATGAGACACATACTCTGAGGGACCGAAGAAGTCCCCGGACCTGGACCCCGGGGAGCTCAGAGAACCAGGAACCGGCCAGGTTTCTGATGACCAGCAGCTCCAAGTTGATTGGCTGAAGAATCTCAATGTCTTGAAGAGAGGAGTTCAGAGTTTTTCTAAAAAAACACAACATTTACTGGGGTAAGTTTTGAATCAACTGAATTTGATTAGTGTTCAAAAACAAACAAAAAAATAAACAAAGTTCCATCCACTGGTGAAGATTCTCAGTCATCCAGGACATCATCCAGGACATGATAAACAAAAAAAAGTTCAAGACCCAAACGACTGGACTTTATTTGCAAAAGAAGATGTTTCGCTTCTCATCCGAGGAGCTTTCTCATTTCAAAGAACAGAGAGTGTGGGGTTCAGGTTATAAAACTGAGCTAAGGTAGATACATATGTAGATTGCCCAGTCAATCCTCACAATAACCCTAATGAACCCTTATTGTGAGGATTGATAGGGCAATCTGTATGTATCTAGCATAGCTCAGCTTTATCAAGTTCAAGTTTCTTTATTGTCATTCTCATCTCATGTGGTACACGAGGTGGAAAAAACTATGGTCTCAGGGTCCCAGTTACACCCCAAAACAGCAAAAATATAAAGTATTAAAATAAACAGCATATAAGGATCTAAGACATACAGGTCCTTCTCAAAAAAATAGCATATTGTGATAAAGGTCATTATTTTCCATAATGTAATGATACAAATGAAACTTTCATATATTTCAGATTCATTGCACACCAACTGAAATATTTCAGGTCTTTAATTGTTTTAATACTGATGATTATGGCATACAGCTCATGAAAACCCAAAATGCCTGTCCCAAAAAATTAGCATATTTCATCCCACCAATGAAAGACAAGTGTTTTTAATACAAAAAACGCCAACCTTCAAATAATCATGTTCACTTATGCACTCAATACTTGGTCAGGAATCCTTTTGCATGAATGACTGCTTCAATGCGGCGTGGCATGGAGGCAATCAGCCTGTGGCACTGCTGAGGTGTTATGGAGGCCCAGGATGCTTCGATAGCGGCCTTAAGCTCATCCAGAGTGTTGGGTCTTGCATCTCTCAACTTTCTCTTCACAATATCCCACAGGTTCTCTATGGGATTCAGGTCAGGAGAGTTGGCAGGCCGATTGAGCACAGTAATACCATGGTCAGTAAACCATTTACCAGTGGTTTTGGCACTGTGAGCAGGTGCCAGGTCGTGCTGAAAAATGAAATCTTCATCTCCATAAAGCTTTTCAGCAGATGGAAGCATGAAGTGCTCCAAAATCTCCTGATAGCTAGCTGCATTGACCCTGCCCTTGATAAAACACAGTGGACCAACACCAGCAGCTGACATGGCACCCCAGACCATCACTGACTGTGGGTGCTTCACACTGGACTTCTGGCATTTTGGCATTTCCTTCTCCCCAGTCTTCCTCCAGACTCTGGCACCTTGATTTCCGAACGACATGCAAAATTTGCTTTCATCCGAAAAAAGTACTTTGGACCACTGAGCAACAGTCCAGTGCTGCTTCTCTGTAGCCCAGGTCAGGCGCTTCTGCCGCTGTTTCTGGTTCAAAAGTGGCTTGACCTGGGGAATGCAGCACCTGTAGCCCATTTCCTGCACACGCCTGTGCACGGTGGCTCTGGATGTTTCTACTCCAGACTCAGTCCACTGCTTCCGCAGGTCCCCCAAGGTCTGGAATCGGCCCTTCTCCACAATTCTCCTCAGGGTCCAGTCACCTCTTCTCGTTGTGCAGCGTTTTCTGCCACACTTTTCTCTTCCCACAGACTTCCCACTGAGGTGCCTTGATACAGCACTCTGGGAACAGCCTATTTGTTCAGCAATTTCTTTCTGTGTCTTACCCTCTTGCTTGAGGGTGTCAATGATGGCCTTCTGGACAGCAGTCAGGACGGCAGTCTTACCCATGATTGTGGTTTTGAGTAATAAACAAGGCTGGGAGTTTTTAAAAGCCTCAGGAATCTTTTGCAGATGTTTAGAGTTACGTCGTTGATTCAGATGGTTAGGTTAATAGCTTGTTTAGAGAACCTTTTCATGATATGCTAATTTTTTGGGACAGGCATTTTGGGTTTTCATGAGCTGTATGCCATAATCATCAGTATTAAAACAATTAAAGACCTGAAATATTTCAGTTGGTGTGCAATGAATCTGAAATATACGAAAGTTTCATTTTTATTATTACATTATGGAAAATAATGACCTTTATCACAATATGCTAATTTTTTTTAGAAGGACCTGTACACTAAACGAACACTAAACGGTACGCTAAAACAGTGTTTTTCAAAGTGGGTGCCGCGGACCCCTGGGGGGCCGTCAGGGGGGCCTCAGGAATCTTGAGACAAGAAGATAAAATAATAATTTAAAAAATGCACACTAGGGCAATCTGCATCTGTCATTTCCAGATAAACACACTTGAGAAGGAGGTTAGATTTCTTTTGTTTTGTTCTTCTGGTCAACAGTTTGTTGAAAAGTTGTTTTTATTAGTGGGAATATGTTTCAAACATGTTAGTTAATAACATTTGTATGCTCAACAGCTGGAATAATTAATTGAATATAGTGAATAAAAGTTAAAACATTCTAAAAGTTGATGTTTCTTTACATATTTTGTTGCGTTGTTTGTAGATTTGCGAGGGAGGCATCGGCCAGAATCTAATGCTGTTTGGGAGGCCATGACATGGAAAAGTTTGGGGACCCCTGCGCTAAAAGATCTAAGATATACTTTATTCATTATTATACTTGATTTATAACTCGAACCCCACACTCTCTGTTCTTTGAATTGAGAAAGCTTTTCAGATGAGAAGCAAAACGTCCAGTTACAAATAAAGTCCAGTTGTTTTTGTCTTGAACTTATTTGAAAAATCCATCCAGTTAAAAACATTTGAAGAACACAAAAAAAATAAAATTACCTTCTCTGCTCAGGGAACTCAGAGTTCAAAACCAGTCACTCTTTTAAAACAACTCAACAGAATTAATAAATTAATAAATGGGGTTTAAATCAGCTAAATTCACGTTAAACAAAAATAAAGACCTAGTGAGCGGATGTCCGAACTGTTTAGATCAGATGTTATAAGGAGCCCATTTTAATCATATCCTGACAGTTTCAAACACCTAATTGAAACATGACTGATTTTAAACAAACAAAAAATACAATACATCATTAGAACATTTCTGAAGAAACGCAGAAGGTACCAATGCAGCAACTGCCTGAACATCCATCACAACATTCATCTGCTTTCTTCTCTAAAGCCAAAAAGTATTTTGTGACTTATGTTGTAATATTCTAAGCTATAACAGAGCCAGAGTCTTACTTTGACACATATAGTTGAAACACTTGCGGCTGTGTCTGAGTGGTTAGAGCAGTCGTCCTCCAATGCGAGAGTTGGGGTTCGAATCCACCAGCAGTCACATGCCAAAGTGTCCCTGGGCAAGACACTGAACCCCTCATAGCCTCTGATGTGTGTCCCATCAGTGTATGAATGTGATAAAGCTCTGATTAGTCTCTGTAGAATGATTTGTTCAATTAGCTTTGTAGAGATCTAGTAGAGTGCTGTATGAATGAGTAAACGAGGACACAGATTGTTGTGTAAAGCGCTTTGAGTATCTTGAAATAAGATAGAAAGGTGCTATATAAGTACAGTCCTTTTACCATTTACAAAGTGCTTTCAGGTTGAGTTCAATTCCGTTTATTTATATAGCTCCAATTCACAACAGAACTCGTCTCAGTGCGCTGAACAGAAACATTCATATACATAAAAAGCCATTAAGTAAAAGTTCTCTATCTAAGGAAGCATCAGACTCATTGAATCTTCACTTAGTCAGTCTCCCATTCTGAGCAAGCACAAAGGAGACAGTGGAAAGGAAAAACTCCCTTTTAACAGGAAGAAACCTCCAGCAAAAACAGGCTCAGGATGAGCGACCATCTGCTTTGACCGATTGGGTTTGAGAGGACAGGAAGGAGAAACAAACACAGAATGGTCCAGATGTACCGGCACTTTTATGGGAGGAAAGACAAAAACATGATAAGATAGAAACAATTACAAATACAAACAGGTAGATTAAAGCAAGTAAAAACAGCAGCAGAGTGAGGAAATGTGGTCAGTTTGTCCCCCAGCAGTCTATGCTAATAGCAGAAGAGCTAAGGGATAGCTCAGGAAACCCAAGCCAACCCTAACTATAGGATTTATCAAAAAGGAAAGTCTTAAGCCCAGTCTTTAAACTGGACAATGTGTCAGCCTCACGTCCAGAAACTGGAAGTTGGTTCCACAAGAGAGGAGTCTGATAACTGAAAGTGCTGCATCCCATTCTGCTTTTGGAAACTCTAGAAACCACAAGTAAACCTGCAGTCTGAAAGTGAAATGCTCTGTTAGGAAAATATGAAACAATAAGATATGTAATATTAGATGGAGCTAAGTTGTTGAGAGCTTTGTAGGTTAGAAGTAGGATTTTGAATTGTCAAGAGAATTTTTGGTCAAAGTTTATGTGTTTTTATTACTATGGCTGATAATCTTATCTCTGGCCATGAACTTCATGCTTAGCTGAAAGAGCTGTGTGAGAAGACCATAGCATGCAGCTGCAGCCAAGGACACCTCCTGAGCTCTGTGAACTCGGCTGAACTAAATGGTAAATGGACTGTACTTATATAGCGCCTTTCTATCTGATCAAGATACTCAAAGCTCTTTACAACAATCTGTGTCCTCATTTACCCATTCATACAGCACTCTACTAGATCTCTACAAAGCTAACTGAACAAATCATTCTAGAGACTAATCAGAGCTTTATCACATTCATACACCGATGGGACACACATCAGAGGCAATGAGGGGTTCAGTGTCTTGCCCAGGGACACTTCGGCATGTGACTGCTGGTGGATTCGAACCCCCAACTTTTGCATTGGAGGACGACTGCTCTAACCACTCAGCCACAGCCGCCCAACTCAACTGAACTGAACTGACAAGGATATAAATGTAAGGGGATGGGCAGTTTGAGGCAGATTCTTGTGACTAGTCTTCATGTGTGTACAATTCAAGTATAATTATATACCCAGTCCTGAAAATCTGGCCTTGCCAAAAAACAAACAAACAAACAAACAAACAAAAAAACAG